ATATTACGATATATTCTTTCCTACGGATAAGGCGAGGCGTAAGCTCCCCGACGACGTAGAGCACGCTATCGATTTAGAGCTAGGYAAGAAGCCGCCCTTTAAACCTCTCTATTATTARYCTCCGAAAGAGCTAGCGTAGCTATAGGAGTAYATTACTAAAGCGACTAAGAACGATTAGATCGAGCTTAGCGAAAGCGAGGCGGGTACGCCTATYCTRTTYGTTCCGAAAAAGGATAGCTTACTACGCTTATATATAGACTATCGCGGCTTAAACGAAATTACGATTAAGAACCGCTATCTACTTCCCTTAATTAGCGAGACGCTTAATCGACTTAGGGGCAACGYATTCTYTACTAGCTTAGACCTCTCGGCTRCGTATTATCGCATTAAGATTAAGGCTAGCGATCGCTAGAAGACTACGTTTCGYACGCGTTACGGACACTTCTAATATAAGGTTATGCCTTTTAGACTATATAACGTACTAGCGACTTTTTAAGGATACATTAACCGAGCCTTATCGGGGCTAGTCTATATAATCTACGTCGTTTACTTAGATAATATTCTTATCTATAGTAAAGACCGAGCGTAACACTAGCGTAACGTATACGCCGTACTCGATAGGCTAAGGAAGTTCTAACTTTACTACAACTTTAAGAAGTGTAGTTTCTTCTAAGATTTAGTCGATTTTCTCGGCTTCGTAGTTACTACGTAAGGCGTTACGATAGACCTACGTAGGGTAGACGTAGTCGCCGAGTAGCCTCGGCTAGAAACCCTTAAGGATGTATAAGCACTCCTTAGATTTACTAACTTCTATAGGCGGTTTATTTAGTAGTACTTACGTATTATAAGGCCCTTAACCGACCTATTAAAGGGAGCTATTAAAGGCAGGAAGCTAGGGAAGATCCCTTAGGGCGCTAGCGAAGAGAATGCGCTAAGCTAGCTTAAGGAAGCCTTTTAGTTAGCCCTACTACTAAGGCACTATAATCCTACGCTTTGCCTACGAGTCGAAACCGACGTATTAGACTTCGCGCTTACGGGCATCCTCTTATAGCAGTTTAAGGACAAATAGTAGCATCCTATTACTTTCTAGTTACGGAAGATAATTCCGGCCGAATATAATTACGAGACCTACGACAAAGAGCTACTTATAGTAGTAAGTACGTTTAAGYAGTAGCGCCCGTACCTCGATAGCGCTACGTATACGATTTAAGTAATCGTCGACTATACTAACCTTAAAGCTTTTATAACGATAAAACAGTTAGTCGGTCGATAGGTACGATAGGCGGTTTAAYTAGCGCCCTTCGACTTTACTATCGAATATCGCGTAGGGACAAAGAACCCTACGGATAGTCCGAGTAGGCGTAGCGACTACGAAACGAGTACGACGGAGTCGTCTTAGTATATAAGCATGCTATTACCTATACTACAAAGCAAACTTTAGAACTAGTAATCTAATAAAGCTCTTCGAAGCGAGCTAGAGCCCTYTATTARAAGAGTAAGAGCTATATACTACGCGATTAAGTACGAGGGATTACTACCTACTAGAGTATACGGCGAGCTTTCGCTACCTAGGCGTGTTATAGCCGTCCTAGCAGCTATAGACTTAGCCCTTAGAAATATTCTAGACCTAATACTCGATTACGCTAAAGCACTAGTAAACGTAAACGCGGATGCTTCGAGTATACGCGACGCGGCTAGGGAGAAGGGCGAGTACGAAGGCTATATTATTAAGGATAGAATATTATTCTACGGCGATGCCCTATATATTCCGAAAGACTACGCTTTACGTGCGTAACTAATGCGTATATACTACGATAACGCTCTCGCCGGACACTTTAGGAAGGCGAAGACGCTCGAGTTACTTTAGCGGAAGTACTACTAGCTACGTATAGCTACTAATATCGTAGAGTATATTAAG